TCCGGGGGCCGCGCTCCCTAGGCGAGCCTCTGCTGCGCGCGCCCGCCCTCCTCCCGCACGTGTCGGCCGGCTCCGCCCGCGCCCCTCCCGCGCTGCTGAGTCTCCGCCCCCCCGGCTGGCCGCGCACCGCCCCCGGGGCCCTAGCGCCTGCCGCACCACCAGGCGCGCCCGGAGAAGTGCTGTCAACTTTCCTCCCAGGCGCCTCCTCACCGCGGCGGGACCCAACGCTCCAGGTCTGCTCCTTCCGTCCCATCCCTCCAATTGTCTAGTGTCCCTCCTTTTAACACTCCCACCGTCAGAGCACGGAGGACTGGCTTCTGGTGCGCCTTCTCTTCCCTCCTCCCTCCCCGCCTTCCTTCCTTAGAATTTTACTCGATTGTTTATTATTTGCTGGGGGGCGGGGGCGGAGGGCGGAGAGGGGCGTCTGGGGCCTGGAGACTGGTAGCTTCGGCCAGTCAGCGCGCGGCGTGGCTTGACGAATATGCGGCGCAGCGAATCGCGACGCGGCACAGAGCTCCCGGGTCACGCGCGTGTGGGTACAATGACATCATCTGTTTGTACGCGTCGAACTAGCTTGGTGCAGGGGCGGGGCCGCGCGTCACTTGAGTGACGGGCCCTGCGTAAAGCCCGGAGCTCGGAGTCGCCGGGTGGGCAGACTCCTGCATATGTATTGCTGGACCTTTTTGTGTTTGGGGTTGTTGCGGAGCCCACTTCTAGGCTTTGAAATATCTCCAGTGACTTAGAAGGATTTTATTATTATTATTTTGAAAAAGATATTTATGAACCAAAGTGGATAGTCTTTTGGTGTGCATGTGGCACATAGCGCATTCTTAGTGCATAAATGAACGATCTGGAGCACGGATCATAGCATAAGGACTTGCGAAGATGTTCTAAACCTAATACCCCCCTACTTTTTTTTTCTTAAGTCAGAAATGCCCAATTAGCTGTTTTGTCGCCATTTACAAATTAGAATAAAATTGTTTCCCATTATCAATTGTTCGGAATGTGCTCTTGCGTTTATTACTGGGGAATAATTTGCTTTTCTTCCCGAGTTATTTACTCTTCTCTCCCGTTTGCCATGAAGAGTGAAACACGATTGTGGTCGAGCGGCCAAGGTAAGAGACTCAGTGCGAACCTCTTGTTGCCTGAGCAAATCCGAGGGCATCGGCTTATCGAAGTCCTGTGGCACCAACATCGATCTTCGCTGGTCAGTATTGCCACGCCGAGGTGACCCTTGTCATCTGCGGTCAGCATCTTATCTCAGGTGTTACCTGGTGTCCGGTTCTTCCTTAGAACCGGACACCAGGGCGGGCCCAGAGCCTGGCAGGCGGACGTGCAGGCCGGGGACCTTTGGTGCCAGGCGCCCTGTCCCGAGTCAGGGAGGCCACAGGACAACGCTCCGTGGAGCCTTGGGGACTCAGCGCTTCTTCCTCTCCCCTCTCCCCGGCAGCGCCGCGCTTTGTCGTTGAGGCTCTGGGGAGGCGGGAGGAGCCCGGCGGGGACTGCTGCGGGAGCCCTCCGAGTCCCGGCCCGCGGCGCGCGCCCCGACACCCACGCCCGCAGCCCCGCGGAGCCGGGTCGCGCAGGCGCGCGCGAGCACACACCCCACTCACACACGCACGCACAGCAGCACACCCGGGCCCGCCGCCCAGCCCTCCCCCTGGGCGGGGACCCGCCCGCCGTCAGGATCCCCGAGGAGGAGGACGATGAAGACGAAGAGGACGGTGGCGGCCGGGCCGGCTCGGTAATGGTGATCGGCGGCAACGGGAGCGGCACGCTGGCCTCCGGGCTGCTCCTTGAGGACTCGGCCCGACTACTGGCTCCGGGAGGGCAGGACCCTGGGTCCGGGCCAGTCCCCGCTGCGGGCGCGCTGAGCGGGGGGACGCAGACGCCCCTGCAGCCCCAGCAGTCACTGCCACCGCCGCAACCCGGGGCGGCTGGGGGGTCGGGGCAGCCGAGGAAATGCTCGTCGCGGCGGAACGCTTGGGGTAACCTGTCCTACGCCGACCTCATCACCCGCGCCATCGAGAGCTCCCCGGACAAACGGCTCACTCTGTCCCAGATCTACGAGTGGATGGTGCGTTGCGTGCCCTATTTCAAGGATAAGGGCGACAGCAACAGCTCTGCCGGCTGGAAGGTGCGTACCCACCCCAGGCTGGCGGCCAGAACCGTTGGGCCTCCTGCGCAGCGCAAGACGCGCCTTGGATTCGTCGGAGCGTGCCCGCGGGCGCCGGGGATAGGGATTGGCAGGGGGACCCTCCGCTGAGAGGCTTTGGGGGGGGGTCTCTTTGACCGCCGGAGGAGGAGAACCTGGGGACGGCCGCGGAGGGGGGGTGTATCAGGCTCCCAAGGAAGCCTCGGGCATGGCCAGGTGAGGAGGGGGGGCAGGGGACGCAGGCGAGGGAAGGGCAGGAGTGCATTTGCTGGATTCCCAGAACAGCACTGAGGAGGTAGGTCCGCGGCCAACTTTGGAATGGAGTTCACCGTAGTGGGGGTATGCAGGGGGCTGTGGTGGAGTGTAGGAGAGTATTTGGGATTCCGTGTCTGGAGGAGGGGTTGAATGTGGGCTTCCAGTCGGTAGCAGGAGCATGGTGCGTTGTTACTAGCTGAATGTGGACCAAGTGTCACATCGATCACATTAGAAAAAGTAGTGATTGCAAACCTTTTCCTGCTCACCTCCCTTTTCTTGCCTGTGTTGACACCTTTGCTCCTAAGAGATGTCGTTCCAATAAGCCTGCCCCTGAGTAGTCTCTGAAATGTTCTGGGGCCTCAACGGGCCAGCCTTGCTACCTTATCGCGGACTGGCCACGCCTGCTCCAGCTGAGGCCTGGGCTCTGGCACTGTTTGAGGCAGGGGACTCGGGGCCTGCGCTTCACTTAGGCTGTTGGGAGGAAGATTTGGTGGGAGGGCTGGGTCGTGATGGCTTCTCTTTATAAATGAACCTGGAGATTAGACTCTCTACTCCTCTTTTCAGCCTCTTGGGGCAACGGACACGTGGTAGGGGGAGAGGTGTGGAAAGGCCTATGATGTAATAACTTCCTGCAGTTGGGCATCCAAAGAGATTAACTCCTCTGCCCCTGCTGGGCTGCTCATATCCACCTGCCTTGCTGTTCCTGGACACCTCCCTGGCTCCTTACCCCCAGATATGATTGTCAATACCAAGCAGAAGAGAGTCCTGTGCAGTGAGAGATAGACATCGCTTATCAGTTTTTCCTATTTGCAATTATGTCTTTTTTTTTTTTTTCAGTGAAATAGTTGCTTCCTCCTTCTCTCCCTTCCTTCATTGTTGTCATTGGGGAACCCTGTGTCTTCCTGGGTTCCAGTAGGTGTATAAAATAAGAACAGTTTAATCTTAATGGAGAACTGAATTGATGCGCCTGTATGAAAAAGCTAAATAATTTAGTATAGGAAACGTTTTAATTTGTTCTTAGCAAAATCTTGCAAACGAAATTCTAGTGTTTTTCAGGAAGGATGGGTTAGTTCCATTTCAAAGCATGCTAATGTGATAACCTTTTAAAACTGGGTTTCCAAGTGAATGACAAGGGTTAATAATCTCAGAAGAGGTGAGTGTACAGTATCTGAAAATATGGATATGGGGGTTTGGAATATTTTTCAGATTCCTCACACTTCAAATTTAGTTTTACATGTTTGGATTTGGTGTAGAGAATCTGTTAAAAGTTAGCTGACTTTAATTTAAAGTTAATGTAGGAGTGGTTTTCACCTTTTTTATGATTTTCAAGATTATACAAGTAATTTAATTCCACAAATAACATTTCTTGATATTGTTTATAGTTAGAGATAATAACAGTTTAATAGATTTGACTTTTTTGAAGATTTACATGAGAAAGTGGTATTACCAAATGTAGCCCTGAATTGACATTGGGCTAGTTATATTTTCATATAGCTTGCAGGACTTGCAATAGAAATTTTGGGCCTAGTCATAAACTTTGTGATTTTATGTCATAACCATTTTTTTTCTCTCATGGCTTCTTTCATCCTTCCCTACTATCTCATCTTTCTTCAACTAACACCGTGTGAAATACTGCAGATTAAAATCCTCAAGGCTTAATATGTTTAATACAGGGCACACATTTTATGGTAGTTTTACTTCCAAATTTTTTCACCAATTCCATTTATCAGTATCATGTGGCAACTGATCCTTGAAAACTAAAGGGATATAATTTAGAGTTTTTGTAAGATGACCTTCATCAAAAGATGCAGCCATGCAGGAACTTCCAAATCTTTGATGATGGAGAAAGAAGGTCCTTTGAAACTGGAGCTGGTTTCATATTCTGATTATGACTAATAGCCAGGCTTTTTGTGCTTGTGGTTTAGTGGGGGTGGAAGAAGAGGGAAAAGGGGGAGAGGTCAGGAGCTAATTGTGACCCATTTCCATGAGTCCAAGTTTAGGAGTTGATGCCTATCGTGATTAGTCATTTCGGAAGCATACGTGTGTATTTAAACCACAGTACTTTCATTCTGAGTTGTGCATTAGGACTTTTTATTTTTATAAATGTCTAGAATTCATGTTAACCTCTCCTGGTCATGTGTTCATGCAGTGTATGGTATGCAGGGTCTACGCCTTACTTTTGTGGCTGTTGGGACCATCGCATTATGAGATCCTGTAACCATCACCCTGAGATTACAGAATGAAAGAATTAGAGAAGAGGCCTTGGAGATGGGAATCTAGACGAGTGGTTCTCAGCTCTGGTTGCATATTAGCATCACATGGGAGCTTTGGAAAAATACCAGTACCCAGAGAATCTGATTTAATTGGGTTGGTGTGTGGCTTAGCATTGGTGGTGGTGGTGGTGGTGGTGGTTTAAGTTTCTCAGGTGATTCTCATGTATAGCCAGGATGACATTTGCTCATATAGTTCTACCTTTTCATTTTGTTGGTAAAGAACCAAATTCTTAGGGCCGGCCCGGTGGCGCACTGGAGAGTGCGCCGCTTGGGAGCATTATGTCTCTCCGGCTGAGGGTTCAGACCCCATGTGGAGACCGGTTCCCGCTCACTGGCTGAGCGCGGTGCGGGCGTGACACCGAGGGTTGCGATCCCGTTACCTGTCAGTAAAAAAGACAAAAAAAAAAAAAAAAAAAAAAAAAAAAAAGAACCAAATTCTTAGAGAAGTTAATGACTTTTCTAAGATCATACAGTACAGAGGTAATTAGTAGTTCTAGATATCTTTGTTCTTTATCACTCTATTTTGTTCTTTAAGTTGATTTTTTTTTTTTAAAGGTCATTTACTAAGTAATGGGTAGTTTTACATAAGTAGAGGTTGCTTTCCTGAAAAGCATGTTTGCCTCTCAATCTAAAAGCATCTTGGTTATTATTTCAGCATCAGAAGCATAGGCAAATGTTGACGTAGAGTGAGCAGATCATGTTTGTATAGCTGTCCAGTGCCCATCAGTATGAGTGCTTAGGAACTATGAAGTGATAAAAGGGGCAAGAAAGATAGCATTTTGACGAATAGAGGAAGCCCTGCATTAACTTACATTTGTCAGATGCATACTGTGCTAGGGAGAAGGATGATGGCTATCTTACAGGTTCCCTTACCTTAGGCATTAAAGTAGAAATGAATAATCAGATGTGGTTAAGAGGGGAAAAGGTTACATTTCCTTTAGTTCAGATTAAGTTTACTTGCACTGTACTCAGAATTGAATTAGTGAGTTCTCTCGGTTCCTTTTGTCTTGTGGAGACCTATAAGGGCTCCAGGGTTTAACCTGGTAAGTTCTGTTTATCACTTTTCCCCCTGTATGCACACACCACCTGCATTTCCCATGAGTCAGGGCAAGATCATATTAGGCAGCCATGAGTTTCTGGGATGGTTCCCACAATTTCACAAATTTGGAATATTGTATGAAGGCTGCTGCTGCTGCTTCAGAGGACAATTCTTTAAGAGCATGAGTGTTTATGTGAAAATGTGTACTCTTGTGGCTTTGTGCCAAGGTAAAAAAATGAGGGCTGACCTGCCACATAATGCTTATTTATGTCCTCACTGTTCCAGTTCTTTAGATTAATGCATCCAGTTTCTTTTCAACATACTGTATTAAGAAAATGTTACTTTAGGGCCGGCCCGTGGCTCACTCGGTAGAGTGCGGTGCTAATAACACCAAGGCCCCGGGTTCGGATCCCACATAGGGATGGCCGGTTCGCTCACTGGCTGAGCGTGGTGCTGACAACACCAAGTCAAGGGTTAATATCCCCTTACCGGTCATCTTTTAAAAAAAAAAAAAAAGAAAGAAAATGTTACTTTAACTGCAACTTTGTTTTAAAAAATTTTTTAATTTCAAAATGATAAAGTCATAATAATTTTGTGTTGACTTATAATTTTGACCTCAGTCACCTTTTGGAGTAACTCACCAAAGGGCCTCTTATGGTCCTGTATGAAGAATCTGTCTTCTGCTTGGCCCATGTTGCCAAAATGCAGTTTTGTAATTTCCTTTGGCAGGACTGTCTTCGTCAGTGATTCTCAACAAATATACTTCCTTTTTTCTACAGAAGCAGTACACTAGGGGGGCTGTTTTTCCTCTTTTTCAAAGCTGTGTCATTGACCTATGAAATGAAGAAATTGGCCCTTTTAGACTTTGATCCATGAGCCCCCTTTAGCGGAGAGAGACTTTAAAAAGAGAAGCTAAGTGTGTGTTTTGATATGTTTATCTCTTTCTTAGAAAATGAAATGAAGTTTAGGTAATTGGCCACAATAATCAACCACATTAAAAAAAAAAAGAAAGAAAATGAAATGAAGTTTAGGTAATTGGCCACAATAATCAACCACATTAAAAAAAAAAAGAAAGAAAATGAAATGAAACTATAGCAGACTTATTTTTAGAAGGTTTTTGGAGGGTTCTATTTTAAGAAAATGACACCATAGAAGAACATCTTGTAGTTAAACTTTTTAGTACTGTGCTTGTGATTCTTAACTTAAACCTGCAAGATATTTTTATTTGGAAAATTAATGAAGAGGACTTGTCCCACTAAAAAGTCAGTTACTTGGTGTGGAAAAAGTTTAGCAGACACCATCCAAAGGTCTTGATGAAAAGCAAAGATAAGACTGTGTAGGCCTGTGCATTCTGGCGAGGCATCCCACTTACCCATTGTTGGTGCATCAGATTTCCAGGGCTGGAGAGACTATGG